AGTAGCAAAACTGACGGTAAGAGTGAATTGAGGGGCGATTGAAGGGTCATAACGAGGGTCTGCCCTCTCATCGGTTCCACAATAGCTTACGAGACATAAGAGACTCGTTTTGCCCACAAATGGTTTGTATTGATGTATAAATTGCCTGAACTTTCAATACAGACATCACTTTCTCTACAAAACTATAATTGAAATCACTTTTTGATTTGATTTCAAAGCAAAAGTCAAAACATAATTAGTTTCAAATAAAAATGATATAACCATATAATCAACCGTAAGATTACTATATATGTCAAATTGAAGTCAAATTATATTTGCAAATTGTGAACGAAATGATAATTTTTATTAATTTTGATAAAATGTTATTTAAAATGTAATACATATTCAATAAGAAAAATGTTAAATAATTGGACAATAAATGCAATTAATATATGAATAAATTGTTTGAAAACCCCATAAATAAAATGCAATCAAAAACTGATAAAATTCTTAATTAGAGTGAAAAGAGTAAGTAGCAAAACTGACGGTAAGAGTGAATTGAGGGGCGATTGAAGGGTCATAACGAGGGTCTGCCCTCTCATCGGTTCCACAATAGCTTACGAGACATAAGAGACTCGTTTTGCCCACAAATGGTTTGTATTGATGTATAAATTGCCTGAACTTTCAATACAGACATCACTTTCTCTACAAAACTATAATTGAAATCACTTTTTGATTTGATTTCAAAGCAAATGTCAAAACATAATTAGTTTCAAATAAAAATGATATAACCATATAATCAACCGTAAGATTACTATATAATGAATGAATTAGTTTTTTTGTGATTAAATTTTAATTGAAGTCAAATAATATAAATTTTTGCAAATTGTGAACGAAATGATAATTTTTATTAATTTTGATAAAATGTTATTTAAAATGTAATTCGAATTCAATAAGAAAAATGTTAAATAATTGGACAATAAATGCAATTAATATATGAATAAATTGTTTGAAAACCCCATAAATAAAATGCAATCAAAAACTGATAAAATTCTTAATTAGAGTGAAAAGAGTGTGAAATAAGACATCATTTTTTGGCCTTTTTGTTGACGGAATCGCACATCACTTCGAGATCGTTGCCGTCTCTAACGATTTGATTGATATTTTGCTTAATATATTCGTTGAGTTGATCCACAAATGGCAACAAATCTGGCATTTGTTCACAATTAGGGATATTTAGCAAAGTTGTGAAGAGAGGGGTCCACACCTCTGACATGTGATAGCGTTTGAATTTCTCCATTATTTCCCAATTGTTGTTCACTTTATTTTTGCGCACTTTTATGTAATCTCCGAAAAGCATGACATGAATGCAATCCAATACTCCAAACCAATCCGTCTATTCATATACAGCAAGCAATTCATTAGACAATCCATTGATTATCACTGAAATCAGTTACAAATGCATTCATACCTGAAAAGTCCAGGGCTTTGAGTCCAACATTTCACAGCATTGCGAGCCTTTGGTCTTTACGCTGACGTTAAATACGGTTCCCTCAGGAAAGAGGTGTAAATCAATAGAGCGGCCGAAGTCTATCAGTTTCAATGATGTCGTTCTCTTCAATACGTTATTAATGTCTTCGCGAACGGGACTGAAGAGGAATGTAATTCATTAAATAATTGATAACTCGACAGAGAGAGAGAGAGAGAGAGAGAGAGAAAGAGACTTACAAATTCAAGACCAATAGGTTATCGGGTTTAATGTCTGCGTGAATAATAAGATTTTTGTGGATCTGTTGAACAATAAGAATCAATTCGAGAGCGAAGTACGCGATCAGAGATTTGGGGAATTGTTTGTCCTGTTGTTTACAGGCGTTGACCACATCTATAAGAGTTCCGTTGGGCGCGAACTCGTCCACCAAAACGCAGCCGTCTTTGAACATAACCGACGGATTGCTCGACATTACAGACAATTCCTATAATAGACACGAATTAATAGCAACAAAACAAAGACACAGTGAAATGGCAATTGTCTTACAATATCTGGACAACACTTGGAACGGGTGAGGCGTTTGTGGAGTTCATCGCAAATATAAAACTCCCACTCATTGGCCTGTTTGGCCACTTTTAATGCAAACCACTTTTGGGTAATGAATTTACTGAAACCAGTGCTGCCGGCCGTCTCGTCCGAGTCCAACGAGTCTCCCGTGTCCTCAATCTGAGCCATATATACGTGAGCGTAGGCTCCGGTGGCCACCAGACGCTCCACGAGATACGTGTCGGCGCCCAACTTCACGAGCGTCTCTTTGGGCTTAATCTTCGGCAACGATCTCTTCACGCGGAAGAAGCCTTTGCGGGAAGCGATCGGTTCGGACAACGAGTGCAACAGTTGTGTCAGAAGATAGGCGTCGAAGGGATCCACGGGTTCGACGACTCCGGACAACGCTCTCTGGCGTCTACTGAGAGCTGAGCCGCCGGTTGTGCTCATCGTTCCCGAGGAAGAGGACGACGACTTACTGTTATACTCGCGACTCGTCTCTATTATTGGACTCAATTTGGCGGTCATTCCGTCCACAAAATTCAGGTTCGAGTGAAACGATTGAATCGCATTGGCGTTCAGACCAACGCTTTTCGTCCGGTCGGCCATTGGTGTCGACGACGACGAGGTCTTCGCGAAGAACGACTCCTCACTTTTAGGCAATGCGATCGTATAGTCGACGCCATAAGCCAGTGATTCGCGGGGTTTGGCGTTCCGGTCGTCCGTTTTAGACGTAATGGTTGTGTCGGCGAATATAAGAAAGTTCTCCTTCTGTTTGGGTTTGTGATCGTCAATGGATTTGCTGTGAGTGTCGACCAAATCGGTGGTCCCGACGGTTCCGTTCCAGAGGTCTCTCACGAGACTGAACGCCGCTTTACTCGCATTATCGGGCGAAATGGTCACCGATTTGTTGGCACTCGAGTCGACGCTGGAGGGCGGGTGCGGTGGCGGCGAACTGTGCGACTCCTCGACGGTCAAGGATTTGAGGGCCAATTGTTTGACGGAAACAGAGGGCTGAGCGCTGCCCGAAGCGGTCGGCTGTTGACTGCTTTGTTGAGAACAAAGCAATTGCTGGACTTGTAGCCGAAGAGCGGCCACCTCTTCCTCGAGTTTGGCGCTGCGGACCACCTCTTCCTCTCTCTTCTTCTTCATATACCACTTTCGAGCTCTGATCTCCTCGAAGGAGAACTCTTCGCCGCCGGCGTAGAGCTTGCGTTCGTTGAAATAAAACTTCTTCATTGGGTCCGCCTTTTCGAAGCGGGCGATGGGAGGGCTGTCCGGACCGCGTGGTCTCATCTTAATGGCGACGCCCGGGAACGACATGTTGAGGGCGTCCGGCGACTCGTCGCACGAGTCATCGGCCGCGCGACCGCTCGGCTGTGGCTTTCCATTAGTGTGTTTAGCGCTACGAGTGGTGGACTTCGCGGCGCCTCCAGAGCCACCGGCGCCCACCCTTTCGGCAACTTTGGGCTCGTTTTCGTCGCAATAAATAATCGGCGCTTTGTTTGCCTTCTTCTGGCCCTCTGTGGCCGACTTCTTGACGCCGTCGTCGCTCTTAGTCTTCACTTTACTCAACGGCTGTCGCTTTGGCGGCGCTTTAGACGATTCGGTCACCGCTTTGGCCACTCGACGATCGATTTGGTCGAGCGCTTTGTCGATGGCGTCCATCGGTTCCGCTTTGAACTTCTGTCCCAAACGGAGCACTTCCACGCCTTTGGTCCAGTCCTTCGCCGACTCCAAGTGATGACTCCATTGGACGTAAAAGTGGGCCATTTGTCGGGCGAATCCGTTCTCATGGAAGAAGTGAAACAACTCGAGAGGACTGTCCACGCGATCGATGAACATGAGAAACACGGAGAGGAGGCGCCGATCGTTGCGATAGTTGGCCGACGAGTAAAACTGTTCAACACATCCCTCCAGAAGTGACTTCAGATGATCGGCAGCGGCGGCGCCGGCGGTCGTCGACTGATTCTCACCCAACCATTGGATGTACTCGTAGTGAACGGATAGCGGATCCGAGCCTTTGTACGTCTTGAGGGCCGACTCGTACTGCCTGTGCGACAGAGAAGTGTCCGCAAAAATGGGATCAATTAAAGTGATAATCAAATTGATTACAAACAAAATGTCTTACTTTTGGCGCTTTTCTCTATCGGACAACGGATTGGCTTTTGGTTTGAGCGCATTCTTCGTGGTCTTCGTGGCCATCGTTGCCGTCGACTTCTTCTTCGCTGGAATGACGTTCTCTTTGGACACTTCCCACACCGAAGACATGTCTGTATCACTGGATCTGTTGCGAGACAAACATCTTTTTCTGGCGATAAAAACACAACAAAAATATAGACACAAAAAGCGCTGCAAAAGTGTTGACGAGATTTTGAACCACTTTTTGCCGGCTTTTCATTGGCTCTCAAAACTCAGCACTCAATCCGTTTTTCATTTGCATTGATTGTTATGCCATCTGTTGTCCCATATATTGCTTGTATATTATGTGATGTGAAACAACTTTTTTGAAAACTTTTATAACTTTTGATTTAATTTATTTGAATTAAAATTTTTGCCTTAATATAAAACTAATTGTAATAATATTACACAAAAACTTAACATAAAATACGCAAAATTTAAATAATTTATTTAAAACATTTGTGTAATTAATTTTTACATTTATATTTGATATTCGTTTTAATTTCATAAATTAAATTAATTAATTAATTACATGTTTTTTAATATTATTAATAAGTTATAATTATGTTGTAATAGTAATATGTTGTTAATAAATGTTATAAACGACACTACAGTAGACTATAGTAAATATACATATTATATGTATTTGTCACAAGTTATTCAATAAAATAATGACATGATTTGTACCATATTTTACATGATCTACGAAACCATAGACGACAACGCATTCTGGGGTTTGATATCATATATTTCTTGTAGAAGAGGTACCGGTGTTTCCAATTGGTTAATCTTCTGGACATGCATTTTATTCAATGGATACAACTCTTGCAGACAACTCATTAATCGCACAAATCTTGTCTCCGATTCTGACTTCGAGTTGTGTTTAATCTCTAAATAGCGTTGAAGTAAATACATGTATGTCTGCTGTTGTAGTCTTTGAGGGACCAAATAAAACAATATATTATAAATTAGATAATCATCTATTATTTTATAATTATATTCATCACTCACTTGACCAGCTCTTTACGGATCAGATTTGGTTGGTTTGGATTGAATAGTATTATAGCTGTTAACTATTACATAGATTAAGTTAATTAATGAACAAACATATGATTTCTTAATGAAATACCAAATCAATTATATTAATATCTGAATTGTATTCGTCTTTCATGGCAAACATGAACCTCCGGTGCGCCTCATATATACTCCTCGACGCATACTTGAAGACATCAAGCCTTAAAATAGTTGCCCTTTCGTCGTCCTTATTAACGATATAATTATAATTAAGTTTAAAATTATATAAAAGTTTACACAACATTCACACATACAATGCCAACCGTCCAAAACTCTCCGTCAAAATTGAAATTAAGTACAGATATCAAGCATATAATCTCCGGACAGCCGGTCTTCAAGAGAGCGATCTTGTCTTCTTCGCACAGATTCGTGAATTCACTGATATTTGTGGACATCTTTATGATCCGACGGCACTTCACATCGCATCTCATCTGCAAGAGTCTGAACGCCTCCATCACATCCGTGGTCTCCGACGCGATGGCGAGCGTCGGATCTCTCATAACGTCGACCGAACTGAACAGCTCTTTGAAGCGATTGATCTCCAAATCGTTGAAATTAAATATCAGACCTCTTATGAGGGCTGGAGTTTGGATCACACTCTCAGCGAATAGTTTTTGTTTAGCATCGGTTCCGTTCCACTCATTCCACGGGTTTGTTGTCGAGTCGACCACTGAATCCATGGTTAGTCTATTCATATAATCGCTGTCTTCGCCATATAGTGTCGGCTCCTTTAATTAGTAATTCAATTAAAATTTATGTACATTTATAAAATATGTTACAATTCCTGTTAAAACACTCACTCTTTTCATTCCTACAGCGAAACACTTATCAATTCTGCACTTTTTACACAATCTTCTGGTCGCAGAAGTTATCTCACAATTATTATTAAGAAAACATTTAAATTCCTGTTTGAAGAATAAATTTGAAAAATATTATAAAGAGTTTATTATAAGTTATTATTATTATTATTATATGAATTCTAGGCATACGTGAGCTCTCGGAGCGATTCTCCTAAAGAAAGATCGACAAGAATCACACGTAAGAGCACTGAAATTATAACCTAAAACAATATTGAAAACAAATGGCATTATATAATGCATATGTCATTATGTAATCCAGATTTAATAAAATGATTTCTTACCGACGGCTCGATCTCCGCAAACACCGCATATTCTTTCAGCCATTTTCATAGACAACATATAAACTATTAGTTTATAAACTGAGAAATTTAATGAGAAAAATGTCACTAAAGAAATAATAAATTGTAGGAATTCTTGAATTTTTCACAATATTTCAATTAAATTATCTATTATTCTGTTAATTATAACAATAGTTAATTAAGTTATTCAGATGTCCTCATAAGTGCTAATATATTGCACTCTATTAGAACTCAATTCAATGTTAGATAAGAAAATGCGATATTTTAGTTTTAATTTGTTAACTAAATTTAACTATTCACTTATTTAATAACACTATATAGATTACTTCAATTAGATTATTGCAGGCATAAAAGCGATCATAAAATAGATAGATTATCGAAATATATACATTATGTAAAATATATTTACAAATGTATCAAATAATTGAATAGCACTTGTTTTGCACTCTATATCAGAATTAATTCAAGTGTTCAACAATAATAAATTACTTGTGTAGTGGAAATGTAGTGTATATTCTCTAATAACTATTTTGCAATCAATATATTGTTAATACAGGTGTGAATCAATAACACAGCAAACATGCTATTAGTTTTGATATACATTTTATATAAATATACCAGAGATACAAATCTATGCAATAATTTTCTATACAATATAAAAAGTCTATCACATTAAATGAATTTGTGTGTCAAAAATTAAGCCATAGAATATGCTGAATATTAATATTATTAATATGCGAACATGTTATTTTCTATAAATAAAATATATCACAAATGGGAATTTAAGTAATATGTCATATTCTAATGCATAATCATGTGATATTAACTGCTTAAACTATACAGTACATGTACATTTACGAGTATACTATACATTGTCTAGTATACTCGTATAGTATACAAATACAGTAAATTTAGAAATATGTAACAAATTTTATTACAATAGTAAAATCAATAATGTTATTTGAGAAAATTGAAATAATAATGAATTTCAATCACATGAAAATAAATAGTATAGATTTTCCAGACATAACAAACATTATATATTTTGTGACCAAATAATGAGACGAAATATTAGTTTCAAATAACAGTAATTTTATTTTTTAAATAAATTTATTAAATATGTTTACAAAATAATGGTTAGACTAGATATAAATGGTAATTATATATTAATAAATTAATTATATAAATGCTTTCGATCTGTATTTACAATTAAAATATTTCCGGTATTAATGACTAAAAAATATTTTACAAAATATTTTAAAATACTTTATATTTTGGAGACAAAGATTCAATGATTAGATGAAAGTATAAGTAAATAAGAAATAATTTAGAAATAGTATTTTCAGATAATTACTATAAATAAATCAAATAATGGCTTATCTGAATAAATGAGTAATATTATGAATGAAATATGCATGCTCAATGTTTTTGTCATATGGTATGAATTAGAAAGCGAGTTCCGCACCCCAGGGACGGTAGTGTTTGGCCACTGACGAGTTGTGTTGGGACATGAGTCCACTCCCATTACCGCTCATATAAGCGCTCGGAAGGTATGGATTGTGGAAATTGTGAGCATTTGAAGCACTCATCGCTCCCATCGTTGCCATCGTTGACGAACTCGAGGGTTGGTATGGGATTGAAGACATCGACGAAGAACTGGTTGCTGTCGACG